GTGTTCTCTCTCTCTCTCTCTCTCTCTCTCTCTCTCCTCTCTCTCTCTCTCTCTCTCTCTCTCTCTCTCTCTCTCTCTCTCAATCTGCCATGATGTCATCCTCATGAGGTGATGTAGTTAGGGTATGGTCCTCCTTAAAGCCAGTGCCATAGCTCTTTGGTATTACTGCTTCAAAAACTATAAGCTGAATCTATTTTTCTCTAAGTAACCAACCACAGGGATTTCATTATAGTAATGGAAAACTAATGTGTCTTTCTTATTAATACTTTTCTTTGTAGCACTCATGTTCTTCTATTCACATTCATAATTGTTCACCTCTCTTCCCTTCTTCTTCATTTTTTTCCAATTAAATATTTATTTACTTTATGTGTATGAGAATTTTGCCTGCATGTATGTTTATAATCTACACAAGTGCCTGGTGCCCATGGAGTTTAGAGCCATATCTTTAGCCCATTCTACATTCTTCTTTCTCATTAATCCTCATGTAACATCTCACTCTAAGCATGGCTTAGGCCTAGCTGCTATATTCCAAGATAAAGTAGTTACCATGTCTTGTTGAGGAAAAGACACTTCCTCCCAGTTCCTCCTCACAAACACACATACCTTTAGGTCCTATTAAGCCAGAGGGTCCAGGGCGGCCTATTGACCCCAGATGGCCTGGGGAGCCTGGGAGGCCTAGGTCTCCTCTCATGCCTGAAATCCCTTGAAGTCCTAGATGTGAAATCAAGGAAGACATTCAGAATAGGGTATGGCTTGAAGCTAATTCGAATTTCTTCAGAATAAAGTTGTCAAGTAGCACAGTACCTGGGGAGCCAGGAAGACCAGGATCTCCTGCAATACCAACTTTTCCATCATCACCTTTGTTCCCTGGGTAACCTCTGTCACCAACTAGCCCATCTTTTCCTTTTACACCTATAAGGTCAAAAAATTGCTGGATGATTAGTCCGCATTTCTGGAATTGTGGTCCTCCATGGGAAAACATGGGTAGGAAGGTGAAAGCATTTTGAGATGTTGAGAGAACTTGATTCAACGAAGAAACTCTGGGAAAGATTATGGTAGTTGTTTTTGTATTTGGAAGCTGTTCTCAACTGAGATGCAAGTAGACTTTTTTCTGAGTGCCTTCCAGAAGCACCAATGATGGACTGAGATGTCTGTGCATTGAAGTTTAGATGAAAATTTGTAAACCACGTTTCGGGGGTATACCAGGCTACAGGTCCTTATCAGTGTACAAATCAGTTTGCCTGGGAAAACTATAGGTATCCACTGAATGGACATTGAAGAACTTGGGGCTAGTCTCCACAATTGCTTCTAGTCCTTAAGTTCTGAAATATTTGTGAGGTATATGCAAAGATATCCCAGTCTTACCTTTAAAGCCCAGTTCACCAGGCTGTCCCTTGGGTCCTGGACTTCCAGGAATGCCAATTGTTTGGCCTTGATCTCCTGTAGGTATAAAACATAATTTTTCAAATGGTTAGGAAAACAATTGTTCATTCTTTTCACCAAAGTAATATTTTCAATCTTTTCCTCCTCAATTCAGATTCAATATGGCCAGAGGAGGTTCTTGACAAAACCACCCACTGGGTAAAAGGACCTGGGGTTCTTCCAAGCTACTGGCAGGAGATGTTCTCATACAGAGCACCGGTCCATTGGAAACACATCACTAGGCCCAGTACGTTTGAGAAGATGACTAATTGGGCTTGGAAACACAACCTGAATAATGATTCATGTAAAGGTGGGAACTGCTCCTGCCTAGGTGCTGTGCTCATCAGTGCAAGAGTTGCTCTGAGCTGAAGTTCTTTTACGCTGATGTTTTGAAGCAGATAGGTCAAAATAAAAAGCCAAAGGAATGTTTTGTTGTTGGTGGTGGTGGTGCTGTTTTGTTTTTATTTTTAACATGAAAGGGTTGTGAAGAGCTTTTGGCAGGTGCCACTGCTGTTTGCATTGTCTTTGAAGAACAAGAGATGCAGAGGGTATTTGGCCAAATGGGAAATACAAACCAAATTCATTTTCCCTCTAAACACAGCTCTGCCCAACCCCTGAGTGATGGATTGATAGAATACCACCTTGGTCTAGGCAAACATATTAAAAGAGAAAATGTTCCCTACCTTTTATACCTGGAATACCAGTTGCTCCCAGGGAACCAGAAGTTCCAATGCGACCTTGAGAACCCTTCAAGGCAAAATAGAAATCATTATTTTTATCTAGAGCTCAGAGATGCTCACCATCTTTCTTCTTTCTCCTAACCCCTAGCCATCACCTGAGAGATGCTGATTGCATACTTTGTGTTAGGTGGAACAAGAGATATATAGATGGGAAGGGGATGAGCCAGGGACCAACATGCATACTTAGGGTTTGCAGAGGAGAAGATTCCATCTGCAGATTATTCCTAGTCATGTCATTTGTAACCTATCAGAATTGAAATCTCGGTGAGTCAATGTATGGCTTCATTAATTATTATTTTTTAAAAGATTTACTTATTTATTATGTACAGTGTTCTGCCTGTCTGCATGCCTGCAGGCCAGAAGAGGGCACCAGTTCCTATTACAGATGGTTGTGAGCTACCATGTGGTTGCTGGGAATTGAACTCAGGACCTCTGGAAGAGCAGTCAGTACTCTTAACCTCTGAGCCATCTCTCCAGCTCTGCTTCATTAATTATTAAGTCTCAGGAAACATAAGTCATGAACCCTAAGCCAGGCGTTCAATCTGCTCTGCAGGTATTTAGCTACCACCACTTTGGCCAAAGGTATAGAGTCATATCATATAATCATCGCTTTGGCCAAGTGTGAGGGTGCATGCGTATAATCTCAGCACTCAGGAAACAGGCAGGAACTTCACAAGTTCCAGACCAGCTTAGTGAGACTCCGTCTCAAAGCTGGAAAGAAAAACCAATCAAAAACAGTATTCTTGCTTTTCTAAACAGGGCTAAACCTCTGCTGCAGGCTACACAATGAACATGAAGTTGTCTTGTTGCCAGGTAGCAGGCTGTAACTGTGCAGGTGCATTTAGATGAGTAGCTTCCATATTCACAGGAAAAGCCACCAGCACTCACTGGCAGCTTTCTGAAACACTCTGCATCTGGGGAGTGCTTATGTCAGCTGACTTTAGTTGTTCTCGTGGTATCTAGTATGGTCTGAGGTATTTGGAGATATACCCAGTTAAAATGCATGCCAGTTAGTGCATTGCACAGGACACTGGGTAAAGAGCTGGATCACTGGGTTAATTGGACCACTATCTTCAATGGTACCCTCACCATTCTGCCTGTTTCCTGGCCTGGCTTCATATAGCACACTGCTCTTGATATGGATGTTCCTAATGTGAGTCTCTGCTTATGCCAGGACCCCTTCCTCCCCAAATGCATCCCTACTTTGTTTCTATCCCTCCCCTTCTGTGAGTTGTCAGAACTTTAAGTCTAGAATGATTTCTTTGGAGAATGTTTGAGCCATGTCAGTGTATCCTCCCTACCAGATGGACTAATGATTTTGAAAGACAAGAATTTTCTTGCAGGGAGTACAGGTGTTCTGCGCCGAATTCATTTGATCAGACTACTACTTATGTAGAACATTCCATATGTCTGACACATTGTTAAGTTCTTTGCATGTCTCATCTCATTTAATCTTCACTATTGTCTGAAAGAAGTTTGGGTATTAGTCTGCTCTTTTTAATGAATGAAGAAATAAGGCTCAGTGAACTTAATTAAGCAACATACACAAGATCACAGAGCAAATGAGTGATGGAGCCTGCTGACATTCAAATTCAAGTCCATCTGTCAAACCCACTCTAGTTTACTCTGTCTTATTTATGTTTTTAAGTGTGTCTGTAAGACAGAGATAGGGAAAGGGAGAGGGAGAGAGAGGGGATAGAGACAAAGAGAGAGGGGGGGGAAGAATACTGTGAGAATACTGCTTCCATGTGTGCAGGTGTCCATGGAGGTCAAAGAATGTTTTGGATCCCCTGGAACTGTAGTTCATAGGTAGTTGTGAGCCACCCAAATAAAACAGCAAGCACTTTGAACTGCTGAGCCATCTCTGCAGCCCCTCACCTGCCTTTTAAAAGCCCAGATAATCTAGACTTGAGCCTTTGTTAGTTGTCCTCTGAGGTATGTCAAACACCTTCCCACTAAACCATCAAGAAATCTCTGAATGCTACACTTAGAGATGTAGCCTAGCAGTAGAGCACTTGCCCTAAGTTTAATACTGAGTAAAATCCAAACCCTACACTTATTTCTAGTTGTGGTGTGGTGGTGCTTACCTGTAATCCCAACATTTGCAAAGGTGAGGCAAGAGTATTATGGGTTCAAGGCCTCCCTTAACAACATAGCAAGACCAAGCCTTAGCACTCTTCCTCCACAATCTGTGATTTTTAAAATATTTATTTATTATGTATACAGTATTTGCTTGCATATATCTCTTCAGGCCAGAGGAGAGCACTAGATCTCATTACAGATGGTTGTAAGCCACCATGTGGTTGCTGGGAATTGAACTCAGAACCTCTGGAAGAGCAGGCAGTGCTCTTAACCTCTGAGCCATCTCTCCAGTCCTCTGATTTTTTTTAACAATATGTCCAGCTTAATATTGGCTGTAGGGTGCTGACACTGGGCTGCAAATAGAAAGGCTTGTAAGGCTATTCTTCTTCAGTCCAAGAAATCTCACTGAGCAAGTGAGATTCTCTGAAGAACCAACTAGGAGCAGTTCGATATGAGCAATGAAAAGGGCCTTGCCAGCTCAGCAGCATCTCAGCAATGCATGATTAGATAGTGCCTTAAGAACAGGCAGGTGTTGGTGTTGGAGACTGCAAAGTAGGCAGGAAGCCTTGCCACATGGACCCAATAATGGGAGTAAAGACACAGAGGAGAGGATGCTGAGGAAAAGGGTGGGAAGATCTCTCTCTCTCCCCCCCCCTCTCTCTCTCTCTCTCTCTCTCTCTCTCTCTC